AAAATATATTAATTTAAATATATTAAAAGATGAAGGCAAACAAGTTTCCAATTTCTTTCTTTCTTAGATATAACGGTGAAGGGATTTTAAAAACATGAATTTTCAAGTTGGATCTGGATTAAGTTTTGTATATAAAGATTAAAATAATTCAAATTAGAAATAAAATGAAAGAAGAACTATAGTTAAGATTTAATCACAAACTTTCAGGTAAAACATAAACTCAAATGAAATTTTACAATTAATAAATCTCTAAGATTACGATAAAGTTTAATAATACATTTTTAATAAATTGTGCAAAACTGTTATATTATTTTTTAAATTACGATTTCTATGATATGTATATATCTATAATTGCGATTTATTAAGTACTATTCATTGTGTTTAAAATAAATAATAAAAATTTTAATATATGTACTAGTATAAGAAAAATCTGTTATTATAAAAAAATAGAAATACGAAATATTTATTTTTTTATATTAAAAATATTTTTAAAATTCTTGCATTCTATATATCATATGAGTGGAATATACGACTTATATTTACAAATAATGCTAAATAAGACATAAAATTAATATACGAAAATTACAATATAAAAATAATGTACAAGAACGAGGAGAGAATTCAAGTTAACAGTTGTTGTTAATTATCGGTTATTTACGCGAGCAAAGCTAAACGAGAGATTTATATTTCGGCGAAACGCCATTATCTGATTGCATTGGAAACCTGTACGCGCAGCGATTCCATAATGGAACCGCCATTTGTGTGTGTATTATTTGATGATTAATAAACGATTTTATTTGCGGCAATCTCTGCACGACTAATAATTAATTAATTTAAATTTAAAGCTATAGAAATCGATTTTCATCAAATTTCTTCCACGTATCGTCGGCGATTTTCTTAGTATATTTTTTCTAAGCGTAGAATTTTCTTGGCAACATATATTTAAAATCACAGTTGTTAGAAGCTAGAGGAGAAAATGTTAGTCAATATAGATATATAACGACCTTTGTTAATTTTCGCTATTGTGGTAAATTCAAATGATTGTTTGTGGAATTATTTATTTAGTGGCTAGCCGTTATACCATTAGCTAATATGCTAATACACAATATACCAATACTAATATGCCAATACACAATAGCATTTATTATAACGCATTTTTACATTCAAGTATTTCGAAATATTTTTATAAGATACATTTTAATGCATTTAATTGCATGTATTTCCTCATTCTTTTTAAATTTGAGCGTATTATCATACAAATGTAAATGAGAGCCATACGACCTTTTCCTCTATGCTCGAAATAACGAACAATGGAACGTTATTTTATGTCACGAGTGTTCACACTAATCCCATTCTTATCAATGTCAATTTTGAGTTATTAACGGAATGCAACGCAATTTTGGCGTTGTTATTTCATTCATTTCGATTTGCATGTGCTCCCGGAAAGCTTCGGAGATTGACCCCCTTTCGCGTCAATTTCGTTACCCAGAATATGTTACGGCAGACAGTAACTGAATTAAATTCAAAAGTTTTACTCCGGAAAACTGTTGGAAAAGCCGGTTCTCTGTGGCACCGCGTCAGGTTAGTTCACCTGTAAGTAGTCATGCCCTCAAGGTCGTGCCGTCTCCCTTCTCCCTTAGGAGAGATCGCGCGCGAGTTATTAGTTCAAATGAGCGGTGAGAACAGCAAGGAAATACTTTTAAGCTCGAATGGAGAGAAACGAGCCGACCATCTCCGCGGAGACTAGTGATTCAAAGATGGCGGAAACCAACCGGCTTCTCATAAATCTTCGTCCTTCGGGACAATTTTTGCGCGCCGAATTTTACCAATATAAACGATCTTATCTGTAATAGAAATTTGATTTCTAAAATGCGAAACTATATATATTATTAATTATGTTTTACAGTTCCTAATTCATGTTTCTCGTAAATTTTTTAAGTTCGTCAAATTGAGATAATACATTTGGACATTTCGAATACTTTTATCTTAAATAGGATTTGTAATATAGTTGTATTATTTTGTATTTCAGCGGAACACATACAAGTATGTACAAGTATATTTTTTATTTCAGTATTTTAAATTAAAAGATTAAAGATATTTTATACTTTGTATTTTTTTCAAATACTAAGATTCAGACAATCTTATTATTTGAATTATAAAATACAAAATACTTTTAATCTTTTGATTTGAAATATAAAATACAAAATATTTTTATGTACCCTGCTGAAATACAAAATACAAAACACACATATAGTTGCATTGCAAATACTAAATACATTTAAAATAAAAGTACTTGAAATACACACACACACACACACACACACACACACACACACACACACACACACACACATACACACAAAAAGCCTTGAATACATATATTTCTCTTTTATTTCTGTTTTATTCCTCGATTTTAGATTTAATGGATTTACTGTTTTGTTATTGTTGTATAATTTCGATATTTTATTATATAACATTTTGAATTAAACATTTTTTATTTTTTATTTTTTAATCTACAGTTTTCTATCTAGCTATTTTTCAAGTAAATTATTCAAGTAAATATTAATTATGATTATTTAATTTATAATATGTGGGAAAAATGTCAATATATGTTAATCTCAATGTTATTCAACAATTTAAGATTTCAATTTATTTTTGTTTATATTGTTTCAAGTTTCAAGTAATTTATGAAATATATAATTTATAAAGTATATCTTCATTCCCATGTTCGTCTATCATAAATTGTTTGATTAAACTCAATGTGTCAGTTAATTTATATTGGTTTGACACCTTAAAATCCGCGGCAGTAGCATGCAGTGAGCTGTTTCTTTATCTCTGTAGCTATAATTCATATTAATTCGCAGAGTTGTACTTTTTTGTGATATTCTGAGAAGAATGGAAACTAAAGTGAGTGCAATCAAGATAGAAAGAAGTCGACAAATGGGCGACTTTCCCTAGCGATATTCTGCTGAATCCACAGGACTAACGGGTCTTTATTATCTTTGTCATTGTGCAGAATTCATTTCGGAGATGAAGGACTCAAAGTCTTTCTCTCGATCTGAGGTCAAGCCATGGTCACTTGATACATTGTTAAAGAAAAATTTTTTTGCTTCCATTATATGTAATGAAAATAAATTTCAAGCGAATATATTGAAAAACATTCAATGTTGTTAAATGGAAATTAAATTATAGTAGTAGTAGTAAGTAACTTAAATTTAATGTTCATATGTTCATATTAAATTTTTTGTATCTACAAATTTTTGTATACAAATTTTATGAGAAGTACATTAAATTAAATACATTTTATGCACATAACACAAATATATTTTTCAGTTGCAAATAAATTAAATTTAAAGTTAAACGTATGTAATTTAAAAGTACATTAAATTTCATTTTTAACAGTATAAGTAATAGCTATGATGTTAAATTGAACAATAAAAAATATGAATGATATACACTTTGATAAAAAAACTTGCTCTCCTCTGAATTTTATTTATTGTTCGAATTAAAGAATCTATTACAATGTGTATCATAAATCAGATACACATTTGCAGCCTGTATTATAATTAATAAATTAATACGTTCCAGACATTGCGATACAGTTAATTATATTATTAGTTACATTTTTGTCTGCGATGTAATTAATCACACATATGTTATTATAATTTGTAATATGATTTATACAAT